TTACAGGATTTTCACAAAGGGTGGCATTGAAAAATTTTCCACTCCTTAGGGAGGTGGCAGCTTCAAAAAGGTTGAGAATCACTGCCTTAGGAGTTACTGTCTTTCAATCAAACCTTAAACTGCAATGCTTCTGTTCCATGCTGACATTAAGCCTCTTTATCTCTTCACACCATCTGAACATACAGTAATGGAGTTTTTTTCTTTCACCTCCAGTTCCCTCTGCCTGTTTTCTTCCCTTAAGATCTTTTACTAGTTATTATTTGGCTGACTTGAAGATTCATTCCCCTTTTTGGGGGGGGGGGGGCGGGGTTCAGTCAAAAACAGTTTATCTTCCACACTGGTTCCCTCATCCCATGAATTCTGCTTCTCCCATGCTTTTGTAATACAGGCAGCTTTGCTCATTGGATTTCTGATCATTTGCCTTCTTGCTACTTTTCCCATCTGCTGCTTCCCGTCACTCAACTCACCTCTGCCACTGCCTCCTGGCTTCCCTTCCTTGCACTTGCTTCTTTGCTTCCTCTCCTGCAGCCTCCCAACTGCTGCCTTATCTTTCCCAACCTACCCACTCTTCTAAAACCCCTCCATTCAGCTTTTCTTTCTGCTGCAGCTTCTCCATCCCTTCCAGAAAAGGCAGGAGCTATGCCACTGAGCTTTCATTACTGCGATCTCCTCTAATGGTGAAAAAATCTACTGCATCTGCCTTTTTAAAACAAATGAGAAAAGCAAATTCATTTTGCTGATTGTTCCCCCCAAAAGATGCAACTTTAAAAAAAAAGAAGCAGTTGAGGAGGCTATAAAAATCTCAGGGTTATAATGCCCTCTATTGATGAATATATATATATATAGTAGTTTTACTTCAAAACTCTTGATATTATAGTTCCTCCAAAATAATAAAATAATGATCTTACATATAAACAATAAAATAAAGGGGGAAAAAGTTGCCCCTACCAACTTTTGAAATACGGTTCTCAACATACTGCACAAAAGCCTTCGAGTCAACAGACACTGGATATTTATGATTGAAAACAAAAAAATATTTTCTTATGGAATGTTGGAGCTTCTTATATGCTTCATTTCCAATAATATATTCATTAATGCATCACTTCGTCTTCTAAGAATTTTATACAACACCATACTATAATCTGTGTATATTTAGCAATTCTTAGGAAGTTGGCAGCAATTATATATTCAAATGATATATCAGTATTTTTCTAAGACTGTAAGAGAGTGGACAGTAAGTCTTCATTTGTAAGAGCAATCATATAAGAAGCCAACAGAGTACTGAAAAGCAAATTGTGTCAGCTAGGATGAAGTTCACATCTATACAGGCTGTAGCCAGCAGTCCCAACATGTAACAGAAACCCTGACTCTCATATCAACTCTTTCAATCTAATGGACTATTCTTGTCTACAGTACCAGCTACCTCAAAATAACCTAATGGAAAACCATGTCTCCTTTAATGTCAGCCCAGGTAATAACTGTTAATAACCTTGGACAAGTACAAGTTTTGTTCCCCCAAAGAAGGCAAATCTAAATTTCAGAGGGTTTCCTCGCTCAAATCCATTGCCACACTCTTCATGAATTGAGGATGACACTCTAGCTTTATAGATACATTATTTTGGGGGGGGGGAAATCCTAGAGCTCCTTTCAGATATATGCACTGTCTCTGAATGATAGATTAATGAGATACCACCTCACTAGAAATAAATATTCTTTATTTCCAAAAAGTTACAATGCCTTCTAACATATATAGGCATAGCTCCCTTACAATAGTTCTAGATCACCAATTCATCCAGACCAGTAAATACTTTGCTTTATGACTTCAATTATTGAGGAGAGGCAAGTCAACATTGAATGTTTTACGTCTTAATCAAAAGTTGCAGGTGATCCTCGCTTAGCAACCATTCATTCAGTAACCATTCAAACTTACAATGGCACTGAACAAGTGGTACTTACAACCAGTCCTCAAAGTTCTGGCCATTGCAGGATCCTCACAGTCACATCATCGTCATTTGCAACCTTCTTTGCTGGCTTCTGGTTACAAGTAAAAGCAATGGGGAAGCCAGCAGAAGGTAGCAAATGTCAACCATGTGATGTCTTTGCTAAAAGACAGCAACCAGAAGTGCCAGGATTGCCAACGCTAAGCAGTGCCATCATGTGACGTTGCACTTTACAACTGCATCACTTAGTGACGGCAATTCCAGTCCCAATTGCCATCGCTAACTGAGGGCTACCTGTATGTGGAAAAAAATAGTCCACTGCAATTTTTTACCTGCTTAGCAAACACATTTTATGCTCACCAAAGTACAATATGTCTATCAATATATTTAGCTGTTTGAAACAACAGGCTCTCTTTGCACACAGTTGATTTTTATAAATACTACAAAAAAGTTTCAATAATAATTTGAAATGAACACATACAGAAGATCTTACATGCTATTTCTGAAGCTAGAAAAATTGCAACATACATCTTAATGGAAGTTACTAGTAGTTCCGCACGTCCCAAAGTCAAGCATCAAGTTATACCCAGAAAACCAGAGTCATGTAGCTACAGAATGCCGTATAGGCCAGTAGCTAAACGCTACTAGGCAATCTGGCAGAACCACGTTAAAAACAATTTCACACGATCTGCGCAGCCACGAACTGGTAACAAACTGCTGGAAGTAGTTTAAAAGTGTGGGGAAGAGGCCAGGAGTCGTCCTCCAGAAAGACAAATCACTTCCGTTCTTTAGGGATAACGCGTAAAAGGCGAGTTTACTTTTCATGAAAGTACTGTAAACGTCAGTCTGTTTCCAGGAGGCATCCCTTTGGACTGCAAGTACGCGCTCAGGATGATTTTCCTGTGCACGAAGCAGCTTAAAGCCACGGCTAGATTTCTACGTGCAGAGCTTTTTAAAAATTATTTTACGGAGGCGCAGTCCACCGGGTGTGCCTGCTGCCTGAAGCGGGATAGCTTGGGCTGATGTCGGCTATCTCAACGTGCACGAAGGGGAGGAACAAGCCGGGGAAGGAGCCGCCTGCCCCTCTCCGCCCCTACCAGTTCAGCGTATCCGCGGCTCTCTGCTTTTCCAGCATCTGGTCGTTCCGAAGACTCCGCCGCGCGCTGCGACGCTCCCCCACAGCCGGCACGCGAGGAGTGAGGCTGCCCGTGTCCGCCGGAGGAGCAGCCGAAAGGGGGCGCCCACGCCGCAGTGCCTAGACGCTCGGGGCTGGGCGGGCGCACGCGCAGTAGCTGACGTCGCCCTGTGCCCGGGAAGGACGGGGAGCGAGCCGCCGCGAGGCCGCTCGAGGAGGCCGCGAGCGCAGCTTGAGGGTAGCTCCAGCGCCCGCCGCCTTTTCGGCTCCTCGCGGCGGCTGCTACGGTGGTTCCCAAACACCGTCCTGGGCTCGCGCTTCGCAGAAGACCCCACCCCCAGGCGCTGCCTTTGACCAACCAAGCCGCGGTCAGCATGGCTTGGTTGGGGCAGCGGGTGGGGGGGGGAGGGAAAAGACCTTTCTACCAACAAGGAGGAGGAGGAGGAGGGGCAGAATTGAAACTTGCCCCTCCCCTCCTGCTCTCCCCTCGCCGCTGGCCGTCCCCCTCTTCCATTCAAGCACGCTTCCGCACCTTCTACCTCACAGTCCACCCAAACGTGGTTTTCACGACGCCTCCGCTGCGCTTTACGGCAAGAGGAGCTTCTCTTATTAAAGGAGAAGCCGCGCTCGTGGCGAAGATCGAACGGTGGTGCCTGCGAGGCGTCTGGGTGCGATCTCTAGGTAACTACCTGTAAGTGCTATACCTAGGGTGTTTAGAACAAAAGTAAGTGGAAGCTTAGGTTTTGAGGGTAACTCTTGTCTTTTGTAACACCACAGTATAATTAAGCTGAGAACCAGGCACCAGGCTAGAAACCGGGAGACCCTGAGTTCTAGTCCCGCCTTAACTGCAAAACCAGCTGGGCGTCCTTGGGCCAGTCACTCCCTCTCAGCCCTAGGAAGGAGGCAGTGGCAAAACACTTCCGAAATCTTGCCAAGAAAACTGCAGGAACTTGTCCAGACAGTCGCCAGTTGTCAACACTGACTTGAAGGCACAGAAAAGAAAAAAAATTAATCTGGAAGTAGAACAGAATTTTGCTGCATAAAGTAAAACAAACGCAAGCGCAGCAGGTGAAAAAAACGAGCCGGCCTAAGCAGGATCAGGCTTGATGTACTAATTGTAGGGGAGACCACTAGAAAATCCCAGCGCTGTAGGCTAAACTGGGAGAGTGAACCAACATCAGAAACGAAAAGCAATATTGCAGCCAAGAAAACCGTAGAGACACCTCATGAAGTTGTTGGATGCTGAGTTTGATCCAAAGGGACCTTAATAAACCTGCATGAATATGTGAATTAAAATCGTACTGAGAGGGGAAGATGTGGACAGTACATAAGCAAAGTGCCAATGGCTGAACAAGTGGGTGGTGGGTGGGAAGGGTGTCTCGATCTAAAGTACCTATTGTCAGCACAGGATCAATAGGAAGGATCCATCATGTGTCTAAACACTGGCACTGGAGAAAAGCACAACCACAAAAAAAAATGCTGTTCTCCATGGGATGCAAGACCTTCTCATGTTACCAGGTAGTGATAGAAGCTTAGGGACAAAATATGTTGCTATGAGCATGAATGTGTTGAATTGATTTAACTGTGTAATAAATACACCTATGTGAAGTAGAAAGCACAGCTGTTGTACCTTAAAATAGAATAGAAATTAAGGCATTTTCAGAATCACTTTCTCCCCTTAGCCTGCTTTTTAAATGCACTGAATATAATGTATGTATGTATGCATGTGTGTGTTTAATTTAGGCAATTTGGTTTTTAAGAGCTGGTGGAAAAATAGCAATGTATAGATCAAATAAGATAACAATGTTCCAAAACGTACAATTTATTATTATATCCTCAATTCCTTTTTCACAACTATGTATATAGAAGCAGAATAAGTCTCAAGGCTACTGCAAAATGTACAGCAGGATTGGACAGCGTGAGTCCTGGGCTATATAAAGCTAGGATGGAATACCACTTTTGTAGCCCTCAGTAAATCAATCACATCTTCCAAAAATCGATGGCATCATTTCTTACAATTTTACAGTTTTTAAAAAGTTGAAGAACTTCCAGATGCCCTCTAAAATCTAAAAACAATTCCTCTGTTTGTGTGCATGGCATACTTACATACACTCAGCATCAATGCTCTGCCCACTGTGGCCCTCATTTTTCCAAAAGGTGAAGGTAGGGAAAAAAAAAAACACTGAAGTCCAGTTTAGCACCTGGTTTGCCATTCCCTTCTTCTTACCAATGCCTGAATTTTACAAACTCTCATATTAGCAGGCAAGAATTCAGCTGAATAAGAAACATTAATGAGTTGCAGTCCTCTACATTCTTTTCTTCTTACTAGTAAACAGCATGGCTTCTCCTTAGGTATTGAATTACTTCACATTGTCTGAAGCTGATATAACCTTGGACCTTTTTTCAAGAAATAACCCTGATCATTTAAAGATTCAATGAAGTTTTCAAAGTCAGATATCTAAAAAATAAAAACCAGTAGATGTGTGATCAAAACCAACTACAAGATATAAATTATGTCAGAAAATTATGTCCATTTTTTTAACAGGAAAGAAACTTTAAAATGGTATGGAAACTTTCCACTTAAATCATCTAAGAAGCTAATCTATATATATAGCCAACGCATCCCGTAAGGTAGTGTTTCTTAAACTTTTTTCTCTCAGGACCCCTTCCCAGTTTTAAAAATTATGGAGGACCCCAAAAGAGCTTTTGTTTGTATGGGTTATATTTATTGATATTTACAGAATAATAATAAAAATTGATGCATTCAATTGATGGGATTTTAATATTGTATAATTTTTCAACTTAGGCTGGCAAATAATTTTGATTTTGCGGACCCCTGAGGGTCTTGGGGGACCCCCAGGAGTCCTAGGACTATACTTAAGAAACACTACCATAAGTTTTTGTTTGTTTGTTTATTTGTTTTGTGCCTTCAAGTCAGCGTTGACTCCTGGTGACTGCCTGGACAAGTCCCTGCAGTTTTCTTGGTAAGATTTCGGAAGTGATTTGCCATTGCCTCCTTTCTAGGGCTGAGAGAGACTGACTGGCCCAAGGTCAGCCAGCTGGCTTTGTGTCTAAGGAGGGACTAGAAATCCCAGTCTTCCAGTTTCTAGCCTGTTGCCTTAACCCCTACACCAAACTGGCTTTCCTAATGTATCCTAGTCATATTTAATGTATTTCATTTTTTCAATTGATATTTGAAACATTATTCCTTAAAAGACAAAAAAAGTCTAATGAAATAATTATTGAATTAAAATGTAGCAAAATAAATTAAACTCACTGAAAATTGGACAGATAACTTGTACTAGTGCTCACATAATAAAATACTGCAGAAAGAATAAAACTTTAAAGGCCTTTCAGTTAAGGTAGCCATTACCCATCTACACCCCCACCCAACAAAAAAAAATTTCCTAAGCAACAAAAGATTTTTTTTTTTGGTTATGTGCAAGTTACATTATCAATAATATCAAACTCAGATATCATTTCTGAAAGTACGGCTGGAGCTCCAAGTTCCTCCAGTCAATAGAACCCAGAAATGTTAGGAGCAACCATAACCTTTTCCTCCAACTGATAACATCAGTAACTAATTTCATCCTTCTAGAGCAGTGATGGCAAACCTGCGACGTGCATGTCCAAGGTTACACGCCACAAAATTTTGGGTGACATGCCAGCATTCACCAATACCCGACAACTATTCTCCCTGTTTGAGTTACCAAAGAAACTGAATTTGTTTTACTAGTATTTCATTTTTGTAATTATTTGACATTTCTTTATATAATACATAGCACCATACATGATTGGACTGCATTTTTTTAAATAAATGAATATGTAACGGATTCTTTCTTTTGTTTGCGGGAGGGGCTGACACGCCACCAGAGTCAAGTTAGGCATTTTCCAAATTTTTGACACAACCTGAGCTCAAAAGGTTCACCATCACTGTTCTAGGATATGCATAAATATTTATTTTAACTTACTTTTATATTTAATTCATTAGCAATCTTCCGGAGTTGATGAAGCTCAAAAATGTTGTTATAAGTTCTTTCTGCAACACGATGGAGAGCAGAAACAAATCTCTTTGCTTGTGACCTATTGCTCATTCCAGAACCATGCTGAGAACGTTCAAAATCCAATTTCCCAAACTCATTAGAGTAAGTTCCTAACATACTTGAGAAAAGAATAAATCAAAATGTACATAGTCAGCAAGAAATTAAAGTAAAAATAAAACTGCAAACAAGGCCAAGAACTGTCTTTGAATTTGTTCTTAATTAGGAAGGTTTGATGAGCTTAATAAAAAGAACACATTCACTTTATAATTCTACTTACAATCTTCAAGATAATCTATATAATACAATAATAGTGATCAAAAATACTTAAAAAGATAATCTATATAATACAGTAAGTGATAAAAAACAGTTAAAATAGGTTTTTTAACCCTATTTTGATGACCTAAGGCATGTAAGTTTTTACAAGATTTACTTTTCTATCTTATGTATATAATTTTATTATAGGTATGAAAAAGTTATATCCAGATATTCCCTTGGTTTTTTCTAATATTATTGTCATATGTGTCTGAATATTTAAAACTTCTAGGTTGCATTTGGCTTATTGAATGTGTGTTACTATACTTTGTGTTATTTTTCAAAATATTTTGATTTGCATTTGCTGAAAAACGTATCAGTTTGCATATTGTTCAGTTTGCATATTATTCAGTTTGCATATTGCAGGCTCACAGACTCTTATTTATTACAGTGGTACTTTATCGAGTTTATACTACCTGTACTTCATTATTTCAACAACATCCTCAGCATCTTCTTTGGTGGCAATTTCTCTTAATTCTAATCTTGATCGTGCCTTAAACAAAAGCAATGATGCTAATATTATATACAAATCTCCCTTATTTAATTGGATTAGAAATAGCATGGTTGGAATCACATTCATATTAAAACATAGTTCACTGAATAAGTCAGAGTTTGCTTAGCTGGGCTGACACACTATACTAAGCCATAAACCATGTTTTACAAATCATAAAGGTTGGGTTCACATTCCACGTAAAGCCAAATCTTATGACTGAGCATTATACATGGATCGTGAAAGAAATCTGTGCTAGACCTGAAAAAAAAAGTGACATTCTTCAATTTGATTACTGTGATATTGCCACAAGGTTTCTGAATTTTGTTAAATATTTTTTTGTTTTTAAAAACATGTCAGTACAAACTGGTGAACCGCATATAAAGATTTTCATTACTGGAAACATTAAAATAACTACAGCCAATATAGCATTCCTACTAAAGCTTAAATTAATTAAAAGATGACTGGAAAAATATATGGGAGAAACCATAGTTTAGCAGCAAAATAGGTGCTCTGCATATACTGTAAGAGTCTCAGGTTTAATCCCCAGTTCCCTAGTTTAAAGGACCATTCATAGCTGACCTGGGAATAAACTCTACACTTGAAAATTTAGAAGGCCTGCCAATTAGAATAAATTAGACAACCCTGTGACCCACTGAGTCATCCTTTGAGAGGAAGGTAGTGCAGTCTGATGTCAGCAGAATGAACATCAAATTTTAGGTGGACCATATTTTTTTTACCCCAATGCTGGATAGTCCCATGATCACCTAAGAAGAGTATATATCATAAACAGAAAAATTATTGTAGTAGCAAACAAACTTCAATAGTAAGTCAATATTTACTTACCTAAAGAGATAAACAGAATGACCATGGGCAGGCAAAAAAGCAGTGGAAGTGGGAGCGACTTCCTGCTGGCTTCCCCATTGACTTTGCTTGTGGGAAGCTGGCAGGGAGCGTTGGAAATCATGATCACATGACTGTGGGGACACTGCAACAGCCACAACTTTGTGAATAAAACTGGTCTGAACATTGTGGAAATTTCAATTCCACAGGAGTAATGGGTCCCAGATTTTTTTATGCATTCTTTAAGTTAGCGGATTTTAGGTACCTTGATTCAAAAATTATTGCGGTATAATGCACCGTTTGGGCTAACTTGAGGGTACAAACAGATAAACAGCATGAGAGTTTTAGTAGTATATAGAAGATAGTATTTTTCAGGTATACTCTAGGTCTAAGAATAGTAACTCAATTTAACTCTGAATTTGGGATCAGGCACAAAACACCTTAGTGATATGGAAAAATCTCTTAGGATCATGATAAATCAATAGTTTAAATTGAGAAAATGGCATGCAACAAAGAACTATGTTGCTCTCTGAAATAAAAATATAGCACTGTAAAACAAAGGACGAACAGCATAGCTTTAGAGGCAACATTACATGAGAGACAGTTTGGTCTAGTGATTAAGGCACCAGGCTAAAAAGCAAGAGACAGTGAGTTCTAGTCCTGCCTTAAGCATGAAAGCTGGCTGAATGACTTTGGGCCAGTCATTCTCTCTCAGCCCAACTCACCTCACAGGGTTGTGGGGAAAATAAGAGGAGGAAGGAGTACTAGGTATGTTTACCACCTTGAATTATTTATAAAAATTAAGAAAAGGCAATATAAAAAATCTAAAAAAAAAATTAAAGTTTTGGAAATATAGTTCATTGTAAAGTTGGAGCTGCACCGTAATACCAGCAACATTATATATTTTAAGGTATGAGAAATTATACAGCTAGATCTCATTTGTAATTGTGTCCTACTGCAGTATCAAATTTTAAATGTCAACCCTTATTTAGAAAACAGATGATAAAGCACTCATACAAAAATGTATGAGGAACAGCTCAAGGAACTTAAGGGCATATTAAATGCCAGGTCTGCCTAAATCCTTATCCATGATTTGATCTTGAATGAAAGGGTAGACCTGGCGTGTATCACTGACACTTGGAAGGAGAGTATTCCCTTCTTGGGGGGGTGCCTATCTGGATTTCAGGTGTTGCATCGGTAAATGAGGTGGAGACACTACAAGAGGCAAGTGGTACTGTTCCACAGATAACTGGATGTGAGGTGCTATTTTTAGGTTAGGCTTGAAGGACAAGTTGAGAGTGATGCTGTTGTACTGGCCTCCCTTTTACACATCAAATGTTTTGAATCTGTTTGTCCAGTAAGATCTGGGAGGACTTGCTAAGGGAGTGCTGTCTTCCTGCTAACAGAATGCCACCTCCAGGGCCCTGCGCTCAAGTCTCTTTAGTGATACTTTCCCTCCTTTGGAGCAGCTTATCCCAAGATATCTGGACCGTTCCATCCTTACCCCCCCTTTTTTTTTTGGTGCCTTCGAGTCAGCATTGACTCCTGGTGACTGCCCGGACTAGGCCCTGCAGTTTTCTTGGCAAGATTTTTCAGAAGTGGTCTGCCATTGCCTAATTCCTAGGGCTGAGAGGGAGTGACTGACCCAAGGTCACCCAGCCTGGTGCCTTAATCACTACACCAAACTGGCTTTCTTCGTTTTTGGAGAGCCATAAAGGTTTGGCTTTTCAGAAAGGCAATTGGGGACAAATAAGATCATGTTCCTCCTGAATGGTAGTGGATTGAATAGTCAATGAAAACAAGTAAAAACAATTCAATCTCCAGAAATGGAGCATCATAAATTTGTGTGTGTGTGTGTGTGTGTGTGTGTCTGCATGTACATCTGTATGTATATACATGTGTATGTGTATATATCAGATGCCAGTTTATTAACTTATAGTATGTGGTATATATTTCCACACACAAAAAAATGTTTTCCTCAAGACACAAGAAATCATTTTCAGTCTCAAATAAATAGCATCAACATGTGTCATTTAAAATAAACCAGTTATAAGTCAACATAAGAAAAAATCTGTATTGTGTTCTTCATCCATGTTTTAAAACCCAATACTATGAGCTGTCAAAATACACCTACTATAAAATTCTTAGGAACAATTATGAAATGAAATAGTACCTCAGTAAGGCGTATCAATGATTCTAGCTGTCGCGTTGTGATAGGTGTACTATCTGCTCTTTGACTTTGTTGCCGGAGTTCAAGATAGAATTTCTGGAGTATCTGAGCAGCTTCTGGAGATAGTCTGGGATGTACATACTGCCGTGCATAGCCAACATATTTCTTTAACAGTTGATGCGGAATTGGGTCGCAGTTTTCTCCTGGAATAAGCTAATAGTTAAAAATACTGTTTAGGTATTATAATATTCCATTTCAACTGGAAAAGGAAATAGTGTGATCAGATAGGAACTGTAAAGACCTCAAGGAGAACCTATATGATACAAGTTAATCTCTCACCTCAGTCTCAGATCCACAAAAAAGTAATCACAACACAGGCTGTTGTACATTTGTTACATATATTCTTGTACTGGAATATTAGAATAGTGTACAAAAAATGCTTAATAGTTGCGATCTCCTTCCCCAGTGCTTTGTCCACTGGCACTGGCACCTCTTTATCACTCATGGAGTGTTTGCCCCAAAGTTTATTGCTTTCAAGCAGAAACTGAACACTTGACTGAAAACTTCCAGGAAGGTTACTTTTGCAAAGAGTTTGCTGTTATGGTTTCAAATCAAATTCTGTAGCTTTCTAAAGTCACATAGAGTAGAAATTTTAAGAGGGTTTAAAGTATGGACACTGTTCCTGTACCAGAGACAGAACACCCAAGGCAGCTAAGAATACCAGGAATGCGCAAGGCTACAATCCGTGGCATCTGGCTTTTGTATCCTTTGAAAAATAGGTTTTCTAGATTATATGTTACAGGGGTGAAGAGAAACTCAGAAAATTTAAATCCTAATCAGAACAAAAAGTATATATTGGATATTGCTAATTTCCACACATTCATTTCATATATTACAGAATTCTGATTCTCTAGCCACAGAAGGTAAACATTTAAGCAAAATTTTAGACCTTCCAGCTTACACTATGATGCCAGCTACTTCAAGAACAGAAAGAATGAAAGAAGTAATTCAGTCTCCAGTAAGTCCTATAATTTTAAGTTTGTAGACAATGCTGTAGTAAAAAAAAAGTGTCATATTCCTCTAATAGTTCTCAGAACAACTTATCTCAAATGTACTAAATGTATTACAGAACCAAAAGACATTCAGCACATTCAGTCCCTTATTTGCATAAATTTTAACAAATAATAGGCATATTTGGATAACATATTGTCAGAACTTGTTGCAGTTCTTGCTTAACAGGGTACAGAAAAGAATGAGCAGCATGCCTCTCCCAGGTGGTCCAATTAGATTTGCGGGGAAGAGGAAAAGTGAAGGAAAGGACAATTGACCAAAGGTGCAAGATTGGAGGCAACAGGAGATGAAGGAGGGATTTACAGTATCAAATATTCACTGATGCCAGAAAAGAATCACTAAAGAAGCAAGTAAAATTTAACAACAAAAAGGCATGTTGAAAATCCTTCAGTGCATCAGAGAAGAATGAACCCAGCAAGACAGTGTAGTCTCGACATTTGTTGCATACTTCTAATGTTTCAGTAGGATAATGTAAAAAATTTTAAGATAATAGCTAAGTATATTCTTTTCTGGCCTTTCAAAAAGGAAGGCAAGGAAAAAGTATGTTCTTATTTTTCCAGACAACATAATCAGGAGCATTCCCTGATGATAAGGTATGGTAGGTCAAAACATGAACAAAATATTTTACCTTTAATCTCTCCACTAATGGTTTCTCCGAAAGAACTTCTAGGACTGATATATTTGAATTCTGAGAATTCTCACGAGTCACAGTAGCACTGCTACATCCAGTCTGTTTTCCACCTCTCATTGCCATTACGTGTTCAGAAAGCAAGTGATCATGATCTTCATTTGGAACATCCAGCAGTATGAATACTAAGTCAAATCGGGATAACAAAGCACTTCCCATTCTACATGGAAAAAACAAATCCAGTACCTGTAATAGTTCTGCCTCAAAGAACTGGATACAGCTTCAGAATTGACACAGAATTCACACAAAAACGATGTATTAAAAATTCCTTTTTTTTGTTTGTCTTGCACACTATAAAACAGACATTTTGAAAATACTTACTTTAAATTCTCAGATACAGTTTTGGCCTTGTTGTAGTGACCCCCAACTGGATTTGCTGCAGCTATAATTGATGTCCTAGCTGGCAAGCTGCAAACAATCCCAGCCTTAGCAAGACTAATACTTTGCTGTTCCATAGCCTCCAGCAAAGCTTGGTGCTGGCTCCCCATTTTATCAAACTCATCAATTCCACATATACCTAAAAAGAAAAATAATTACAAAGTGGCTAATAAGCAAGGGCAATTGTTCAACACTTTGAGAAGACTGCTGATACGAATTCCATCGTGGTCAAAATGAAATTTATTCAGGGTAAAAATATTTAGTATTTAAATGTGAGAATTCTCTTTTTACTAAGATTAAAATCTTTCATGGTAGACATTTAAAGAGTACTACTGAACTAATAAGTTCTTGGAATTCCTAAATAATGCTTATTGTTAATAAATTCTTGTACATATTATTATGCTATATTTTGATCTATGCTTTATTGAGAGCTTGTATTTTTTTTTCAACATAACATAAATTCTTGGATTTTCATAAAATAGTTGCTGACAAGATACTTGAACTGCAACCCATCACATGATGTTAGGTTGAGGGCCACATGGTAGAATATTGTTAGAGTGCATATTTACTAGAGCACAGTATAAAATGCTTGTGGTTGAATTTCAAGAGGATGTGGTTTGTGCAGCAAATGTTTGACAGCAGGTAGAAAAGTCATACTTTGAAAAAGGGAAGGTTTTGAGGTATTCAGAAACCATCGAGTGACCTAGTTATGAGACCACCTATGACCCTAGTGTAATCAAAAGCTAATAGTAAAACGCACACCCCTAGGGTAGAAATTTTAGAAAACATAGAACATGCTAAGCTTATTATGGGATGTTAGTATGTTACATGTAATCAAGTGCGTCTACGCAACAATGTAACCAATCATGTTTTTTTACATGCCTACTTCCCTATTTTTGAAAAGTATAAAGATTGATGTAAAACTTTGCTGAAAACAGCCAATAGTTTCAGCAGTGGTAAATTCTGAAAATGAAGTAAAACCCATTTAATCAAATTAGCTCAAAGTATCTGCCTATGGAAATATTTCTTACTTTATGTAATCATCACTATCAGTCTGTACACTTTACTTCCTCCCATTCCCTATTTCCCAATGTTTGAGAAATATATGCCTGTCAATTAAGACTGCATCTCAATATCCAATAAAATGAAAGTTTATACCATAATAAATATGCCCACCTATAAGGTTTACATAGTTTTGTTGTCCAGATAAATACACTTGAATGTGATACCTTGATCTCCAAGTACCAGGGCACCAGCTTCCAGTGCAAAATCTCCAGAGGAACTATCTCGAGACAGAGTTACAGTCAGGCCAGATGTAGTACTGGCATTGCCACAAACATATACTCCACGAGGTGCAGTATTGCACACAGCCTGAAGAAACAAGTTGAAAAAGCTAGCTTTGCATATTATGGATTAATTAAAAAGAATAAAATGCCCAAGGAAGAATATATGTAATTATTTTGAAATAACATGGTATCCAGTGCTACAGAATACTATTTAAAAGAACCTGGTGGTTAAGCATGAGAAATAAGCTATATTCATAAACAGATGAATCCATACTTGCAACATCTGACTCTTCCCCAGTCCTGGATCTCCAACTATGAGAAGATGTGGGTCCCCTCGAATAGGAATCCTGTTTTTATCATCCACATATTTTTGACATCCTCCAAATAATGCCAGCACTAAACCAGCTTTTACCATCTGTAACATGAGACAGCAATCCTTAAAATATTTGCAAGGGATAATTCAGTGTAAATAGCACATGATCCAGATAGTCCCTGTCAATATTTGGCAGAAGCTTCTAACTCTTCAGAAGTTGAAATGAAAATGCAGTGGCAACAAGCCAAGTTCAGACAATAAAAAGAAGTCCTGCAAAAATTGTTACAAAATCTTTTACAGCACGATAGTGTCAGAAAAGTACAGTAATGTTATTTTACCATTCAAGACTTTGTAACCATTATGCATTTTTTAAAACAATGAAGGATTTTAATAAAATAATGGTGTATTTTTTAGGCAGCTATTAGGCATATTATCAATATCCCTCTATGTAGTTTTATTATGGTCTTCAAAACAGGTATATATCAGATTATGTGAGGAATAAAGAAACTCATTTTAATGCTGATATAATATATTGAATAATACTAATAATGCTATAGTAATGGAAATCCCAATTTAACAATAACCTCATTCACATTTTCTTTTGTTGGTTTGCAAAGCACTAAAATGTACTTTAAAAACTAGGCCCATAATGTATTTATTCTCTACTAAGCATTTGGAATATAAACCATTGAATGTCTCTGTTGGAATATACTTACCTCATGACCATAAATAGTGGGACAAAGAGAGCTAGGAAGAAAGAAAATTGTATTACCATGTAAAATGTAATGTGAAAACATATTTAAGATTATGTATCTCAAATCAGATGCTTATTCACAAATACACACTGTATAAAGGTAATACAAATGAAGTACCATTCACCTGAATTACATGGCTTGTGAAATGTATGGCTAATTAAGTATGAATGCATATTGGATGATCTATTATGTTCCTGTTACTTTAGGGAGATGGGGAAGGCCAAAATGCCTATAACATCCAGAGTCACACTAATTCTACTTGGGCTTCAAGAGTTCATCATCTGAAGCCCACATACACTCAAATTTCCCCTTCTGGCTTCTAATATTTTTTTTTAAATGCTGAAAAGCCAGACTCTTTACCCACTATATTATTCTTTTTTTGTCCAGAATTATAAAAGACACAATTAATACAGTATCTTGCTTGCAGTAAAAGAATTAGTACAAGGTTAATATTTTATTACTGGTTTGCAGCTATCAAAACCATAAAGAATACTGCGGGCATGGCCATGCACTTTTAAGATCCATTTATGTCTATTATCATCATCATCATCATCATCAAATAATATTTTGTTGTAACATTTTTAACTTTTAATTTTACATTTGATATGCTGTAAGCCATCCAGAGCCTTTTGGAGTGGGAAGCTATACTAAATCTAAATTATTATTATTATTATTATTATTATTATTATTATTTCATTGAAATCAATTAAAGTTAAATGTAATTAAGTTTAAGTGCACAAGGCTTCATCTTTTAGATTAGATAGGATTTCCACACATATAAATGTTTAGTTATTACATAAAAAGAATACTTGTACTGTCTATCCTTTCAAATAACAAACAAGCAACAGAAAAAAATCACTGTAGCTTAGTATTAAATCAAGTTATAGACTGAAAATAATATTTAAAAGACAGATGTCAGTAGTCTCACAGATTCATATAGCCTTTTTAAGCATCCTGCTTTGTCCACAGTGGTGTTTGTGATGTCACAAATGGTATGGTTGACATCATTTCCTGGATCTGAGACTTTTCAGTAGTGCTATATCTTGCCAGCAGCATAGAGGGTGGTATTATCTGCCAGTTCCTACGATGCTGTCAGAACTCACAGTAAGCTCTTTACTACATTCCTACCAGTACAGCAGTGTGGTAAGAACTTTCACAAATATTTATCTATCAGAGTTATATCTTGCCTTTCATATAGGCAGGAAAAGAGACATGATATTCCCTTCTCCTATTTTTCTCAACCACAACACTACCTGTGAGACAGGTGGAGTTAAGAGAGAATGACTGGCTCAAAGTCACCTACTAGCCATGAGTGGACTTGAGCCTGCACTTCCCCAATGCTAATCAAACACCTTAACAACTAAACCACATTGGCTCTCAGTAGTTCTCTTATTATCACATTTAAAGCACCTAAATTTTCTTGCTTTGCTGCTTTATGGATGTGATAGGACAGATATTCCATTATTGTAGAAGCTTTTTTGGAGAAAGTCCTCCTGCACTAAAATAGAATTACAATTGACTATCTTCATCTGGCTTGGAAACTAAACAAGATCAGGCTTGATTAGTAGTTGGATGGGAGACTGCCAGGGTATCCCAATCCTGTAAAATGTATTGGGAAATTAAACAATCACCCATAAAGAAGGTAATGGCGAACTACTGCTGTGCAGTTGCCAAGTAAACTCCATGGATGTGTTACCAGCCACTGAGCTGGTAACTCAGAAAAAGACTAACTTTTCAGTCACACTGAATTTCCTAACAATGAGATTTTCTAATTATTCTAGGCTCTCATCCTGGGTGAGGACTTTCTAGTCCTATTGTCTAAGCCCTATTTTCAGTCCAACTCTAGAACACCCAAAAGGAAAAAGCACAAAAGAAGGATAAGTAACATTTGTAGAACACAGTAAACATAATTGGTTGGATTGTTTGTTTTTGGTGTGGATGTTCAAAACACAATGATTCCAACTGAACAAAATGCTAGAGGCAACTGTACAGTTCACTCTTTCATGAATATCAAGAATATCTTGTAGTGGTCCAATCTCTAATCATTTTTTCTACAACATCGTTTTCATGTTTTGAAGATGTCAAAAATTCAGAAATGTTTGATACCTGTGCTATGTCTTATCAAATGTTTTTGCTATACATTCAACTAATACAAAAGAACATATACTCCAGACATGTGGCTTTGTTTGTAAATTAAGGTTCTGATGGATTGTTTGAAGCATGATGGCAAACAAAATATATCCACTGAAATACACTAAATGACATACTTGACAATGAGCTTGAAAAGATTCTCTTCAGCTTGGATTTCCTGGACTGCATAAAGATCTTTAAGTGAAAACTCCAGGCATCCTTGATGGTTTAATCCATGTTCATAATTTTTGATTTTCTGGCCTTTTGTATTACTGATAGAGTTTGCTTCAATGTATAACAGGAAGACACATTTATCATTTTTATTTCTTGATGCTCCTGTTAAAATATCAAAAGTATGATCATGTTAATCTCTCTGCATAAGGACATAATTTATAAGTGCTTACAGAGAAAACCTATATATTTGTAGCTCAACTTACAGTAACTAGAAGTCTCACTAAGATATTTGCTTAATATAGTACAGTCATATACACCAATGTCATCAGGAGCTCAAGCTAGGCTCAAAAAAAAAGTCACCGGATGATGCAGTCACTTAAGTAGCACTATTTGACCATGATGGAAGAGAGAAAAGTATGGGAATAATCTAGTTCTGTCTTATCTTTTGGAGTTTTGCTAAATCTTATTATCAGAATTGGTTCATAAATCATGCTAAACTTTAATGCAGCTTGGTTTTCTATATTGTGTGAATCCGGTCATTGTGGTTTATAAAAAAGTTTATGGGTTGATATGTTACGCAAAATCTCAATTGTGATTTATTTATGGTAAAGCAGAGAATCACACAGCACAAAGTATTAATGTGATTTTTTTTGTATCTTAAGACAAAGAATATAACAAGAAAATGTTATGTTTAATAAAATCCCAAAAGGCACAGCATAGTCTTACAAAGAAAATATAAACAGAAATATTGGTCTTTTTGCAATACAGATAGTCCTTGACCTACAACCATTTGTTCAACGACCGTTCAAAGTTATGACAGCATTGAACAAATGGTGGTTGCAACCGGTCCTTGGAGTTCCAGCTGTCCCAGCACTCCCACGGTCACGTGATTGCAATCTGGGCACGTGGCAACTGGTTTGCACTTATCATGTGATAGCCATTTGCAATCTTCTCTGCCAGCTTCCCCAGAAAGTCAGTGGGGAAGCCGGCAGGGAAGATTGCAAGTCGCTGGGGTAAGTCCTCCCCCAGCCCCTCTGTGCTCACCCCGCGCCAGCCACTTGCACACCTCCCACACCCTCCCCAACCCATGCCTCTCATGTATCCCCCAACCTCTGCTTCTCATGCACCCTCCCTGAGCTTCGCCATACCTCTTGCATAGCCCTTCACACCCCCGACCTGTGCCTCTCGTACATCCCCTTGCATCCTTGGATACCCTCCCCGATCTGCGTCTCTCATGCACCTTCCCTGACCCTCCCTTCTACCCTCATGCACCCACTTCAACCCTCCCCACATCCCCTCACACCTCCCCTACCCGGCAGCAGCCACTTACCTGCCTGCCAGCATGGGACTTGCAACTTCCTGCCAGATTCCCCACTGACTTAGGTTGTGGGAAGCCAGCAAGAAGTTGCCTCACCTTTTTTTTAATAGTAATTTTATTAAAGATTACAATTGCAAAGATAAAAACTAATACAAACTTTAAAAAAAAGAATAAAAAGAAAAAATAGAAGGTGCAGAAAAGAAAATAGAAAGAAAAATAGAAAAGAAAGAAAAAATAAAATAGTAAAGAAAAGAAATATATAAAGAAATAACTTCCCATAGAACTCTCATAGAAATCTTAAGAGATTGTGCAAGTACTAAGAGTTTTCAGTCATCTGGGGGGGACAAAATAATTTTTAAAAAATCAAAATAATTTTTTAAAAAGCCAGTTTGGTCTGGTGGTTAAGGCACCAGGCTAGTCCTGCCTTAGCCATGAAAACCAACTGGATGACTGTAGGCCAGTCTCTCTCTCTCTCTCTCAGCTCAACTCACCTCACAGGGTTGTTGTTGTGGGGAAAATAGGAGGAGGAAG